AATCCCCAAGCCTTCAACTCTTCCTTCTCGAAACCTGGGAGCAAGCTTTGTCTTTACTGGCTTCCCTGCTGTGGACCTTGGAGAGAATACCTATTTGTTTTCCTTCCTGATCTTCTATCTCAGCTGCCTTACCCACCTGCAGCTCCTGGCTCCCTAGGACTCAGTTATCCTCTCACAGATGGGYCATCTAGAACCACAACCAKCAGGACCCATTGAATCAACTGAATTTAAGTGGGCCTGGCCTTTCCTGCTCTTCAGTAGTTCTGCTGTTCTTTCCCCTACAGAATTTTCCAGAGTAGTCATTTTTAAGCCTTTCCCATTCTTCTTAAGTCTAGAACTCCACCYGGATTTCTCAAATGTTTATAGTGACCATGAAGACTGAACGCATCTGTATGCACTGCCACCTAATTCCCTTCATTATACTGAAATTTTCTGTGTGGTTGCTTCCTCTTAACTGCCTCTCTGTCTCAAATTAAGCAACTTTCTACTCTCTTACCTGAACTCTTCCTTCTTTCACTCTCTTCAAAGATCCTCTTTCTGGTCTTCTTTTACCATCTTTTTATATTTACACAAAAARCAGCAGCACCTCTGAGTTTTCTTCTTTCATGACCAGACCAAGAAAAGGTAGTTTACACTCACAGCCCCCATCTCCACAGATCAATTCCTTTTCCCCTCCCTAACCTCCACTGTTCTTCTGAAATGCTCTCMAAAGTCCTCCCAATTACCAAATGGGATGGCTTTGTTTTTTTTTKGGCCTGCATCCTTCTCGACAATTCTGTGGCACCTCAGACTCAGCAAAATCAAAACTGAACTTAGTATTTCTCTTTTTTGTTCCTACCATTGCTGATTGCTTCCTTATTTCTTCCATTTAAGCCAAGATCTCATTACCATTGCCCCAACTTAAGCCATCAAGTCCCTGTCCGTCYACCACTGTTATGTCTATTTCATGCAGTCCTCTCTCTCTGCAGTCCCGACAGACTGCATCCTTCTTTCAACGCAAGTCAACATGGTGCACCAGTCCTGCWGTCTGTTTTTTGCTAAAGTATGCTTTCTAGATCCTCAACTGTCTAACAAAGAAATTTCAGTTTTTTATCCTGAGGATGAAGGTCTTCTAAGAATTGGCTCAGACCTATAAATTATAGGCTCCATTATTTTCTCTTCTTCCATTTCATTTCATGTATTTCACATTTCCTCTGAACTCTGGCAAAATTCACAGTCCCCATAATACACCCTGCTCCTCTCACCTGCTGCCTGAGTCAGGTCGGTCCATCTATTTGCAATGTTCAACATTGTCTTTACTCATTGAAATCCTATTATCATTTTCAAAGATGCCATCTTCCCTATCTTCTGTAAGCTGAAAATTAACTGTTCTTTCTCTGAACTTCCAAGATTGCAGTATGCCCATCTCTTTGTTTCTCACTCTGTCCTCATGCCTTTTATATTGCGACTGCCTGAGAACTTAGCTTATTGTTCTTACTGAATTGTAAGTTCTTGGAAACGGTGATGATGAGGATAACAAGTATCACAATAACGTCTGTCACAACAGACTCCTACCAATTCCAGCTCTGTGCAAAACACATATTTTTATCACCCCWGAAGCCCCATGAAGACAGTTCCCATTTTCATATTTGATTAAGGAAAGTGCCCAAGGCTGACACCTAGGAAGTGGCAGAGCCAAAACCTGACTTAACCTGACCTTAGCCTTGTCTGATTTCAAAAGCCATATTCTTATCCATCCATAGACTCAGCTGAGAACCACCGAGAACCCCCTAAGTCCTAACAGGTGGAGCAGTTTACTTAGCCTAGTTCCTCAGCGTTGCTGGGCCTGCTGGGTCAATACAGACATCTACTGGGAGAAGAAAGAGCTTAGACTCTTTCTATTAAAGGATGAAAATAGGACCAAGTTTTTGCACCTGCAGATTAAACAGAATATCAAATGCAAAAGCTCTAACTCACCTGGATTAGGTAATAACCTAACTTTGTCTCTTTCCTTAGAACCATCAAGGTCAGTAAGACAATAAATCAAGGCCACGCCAAAAAGTCTTACTTAGATAATTTAAACCACATTTAGACAGAGCCTCCAGTAATTCTGGTTTCTGAAGCTCTGACATCAGCCCTGTGAAAACATGATAATTGTACCATGCTGACAGAGTCAAAATCAATGCAAATTTAGCATCCTACTTTACATATGAACAGGCAAAATAATATGTGGCACACATAGGTGTCGATGTAAAGGAAGTGGTGACTGTCTCTACGTAAGCGGCTAAGGGCTGTAATCCTCTGAGAGGAATGTCATTATACTTTCCAAATCCCATCGCAACAAATACCTTTACAACAGAGATGTCTGTATAACAAAAACCCTTTCAAGCTCTGGCTGACAGCCCACGTATTTCAAGCAATATTTGATGTGAGACTTGGAGTTCATAGTAATGGGAATTGACCTGTATTTCCAAAGGTAAGATTTGAATGATTTCATCTGTAGCTCCTATCCCAGGATACCCTGGGTGGGAACCCACGAGTACAAAAACTCAACACAAAGAAATGAAATCAACCCCACTCTGAAAAGGTGAAATTCCTTCTGTTCATCTGGGGTAAGGAGGCTTCTGACCCAAGTCCTAAAATGGACCCCACTGCTAGGAAAAATGGTATAGTCCGTGAAGACTGATGGACTATGTTCAAATCTCCACTCCAGCTCTTATGAGATGAGGAAACTGGGCTACAATTCTAAATGCTTTTGAACCTCACGTTTCTTGGCTATAAAACGTGAGGAAGATCACCCATGCTCGGGATTTCAATAAAACCTCTATGACAGCATACATGAGAATCCCAACAGAGGGCCTGATATATACATAGCACATACTCAAAAAAGTTAGTTCTCTCATCAGGTTTACCTTCCTCTCTGAGACCTTGGGCTAATATAAACCATTTTCATGAAATCAGCTAGAAGACCTAGTGAGTGGAAGTTAACCAAACGTACAGTCTAAACACAGGCTGAGTAAATTTGTTGCTCAGAAGAACGCCCTGGCAAAATGGCAGAATGACTAGACCATACACAAGTGTTTACCTACTAGAAATAAAGGTTATCTGGGCCAAGGTGTACCTGAAAGCTAAAAAGCAAGTAACCAGGCAGCATTAACAATAAACGAGCTGATTATTTTGTCTGAGGTCATTTTGAAAATTGCTGATAACCCAAAATTCAGAGTCACGTTTTCCTAGTCAAGGACGAGCTGTGGCTGCTGTTCTGGCCTAGTTTTCTTTGGGTGCTATTCTAGGTAATGGGAGGGCCCTTATTTTGGGGACTCCCTGGCTCTATCCTGTACATTACACTCTCTCTCCTCAGTAGAATACTGTGAAAGTATTAAAACAAACTGTTTTCTCCATTTGGGAAACATGTACGTAAATAGCTTCAGAATATATTTACTGAAAGTGTTCAGAGTTGTTCTAATTTATGAGGTTTTTATTTCTATTGATTTTCAGATATCTGATTTTCTGCTTTTCAAATTACAGGTCAATGAACTTGGAAGTTTGTGATGACAAAATTCCATGTCCCCCTCTCTGCCCCCAGGGGGTGTTGGTGGGGGTTTGGTACTGGGAATTTGATCCCAGGGTCTCAAACATACTAGGCCAGTACTCTACCACYGAGTTATATCCCCAGCCCTACCATGGTCTTTTAAAAAAACAACTTTGGTATTATACGTTTTGAAATAGAAAACTATCATCTTATGAACATAATCTGAAGGCAAGTCTGCTCACCTTTATAAAATAAGTAGGGACTTTTAAACACCTTACAAAGCTTCCCCAAACCCCATTTGACCTAGGGAACTATCAAGAACAAGAGATGTCCCAATATTTCTCAAAGAATGTTAGTCTTAAAGATTTCTTACTCCGATCCTTTCACTGTGCCAATAAGGAAAGAGCTCACAGAAAAGTATACACCAATATTCATGTGCCCGGCTCAAGTATATACAGACCAAGCAATGAGATTTCTCTTCCGAGATGCAACAGAAAAATAAAACAACAGCTGGACAGAAGTACGGAGGCATAGAGAACAAAYTGCGAGATCTACAGGGCAGAGAAGYCCTAAGTGGAGAGGTTGGGAGAKCAACAACAGAGAAAGAACAAAATTACTAAGGAAGAAGGTTAAACAGCAACAGAGACCAAGTGGCAGCAGCAGAGATGTTTTAAATTCAGCTCTGCGCAGAGCTTACAAAGTAGGACCTGAATACACAGAAGCATCCACCTGCTACAGTGGCTTCTGGACTCTATTTTAATATCTGCAACCTCCATCCCATCACCATTATCTTAAAATGGAGGCAGCAACAACCACCAGATTGTACACTTTAATCCTACCACTGATAAGGGCGTAAACCTCAAGCGTTTTGGAAGGTGTGCTAACTATCTTAAGCCACTAGGGCGCTACTCCCTGGTTCCAAAAGGCACACTTAATGATTTCCACCTAAGCCCCAAAGCATGGATGTCTCTCCTAAAAGTGAACCCTTTCTTCTCTGCACCAGGGCATTGCTCTAACAGTTTACAAGGCATTTCGAGGTCCCTCCGGGCTGTGGCAAAGTGAAATACAATTGTAATTACACAAGAAACCACGGAAAGGTAGCACAGAAAGAGTTAGCTCCTGAAATACAAGGCTGAGAAACACTATTCCTTAGAGAAGCTGCCACCCCGCCCAAGAAGAGCCTGTGCTGCCTCGAAAGTGACCTCGAGGGAGCAATCAGGTGCCCGGACAGAGGCGCAAGCAGCTTTCAGGCCCTCCCTCCMGCATCCCACCTGTCCCAGGGGGCGGGCGGGAGTGGGGGGAGGAGCCGGGAGGAGCAGCCGGAGCACAAGGGCTGCCAGCACCAGCTGCTCCCAGCCCGCCCTCCCTCTCTGCTGCCCTCCCTCTGGCAGGCGAGGGCTCTGGGTAGCCGTGGCCCGCCCAAGATGCCCGCGACGCCCATCTGGGCATCTGGGAGACCCCTGCCCCRGGAGCCCCGAGCTGTCTGTACCTTTACTCTGGGGAGGGTTCTGACTCCGGTCCCGGAGGACGTTGATCTGGTAGACGGCTCCATAAGGCTCAAAAAGTTCTTTCAGCTCCTTTTCCGACCACGACCGGGGGATCTGTCCGACAAACATCTTAATGGCATCTGGGTCTGGTTGGTCTGAGTGATCCAAAGCTCCGTTCATCTTGTTGGCTGTGCCGTTACTGTCAAAAACGGAACCGGGAGCCAGAGTTAGGGCTGCAGGGTGAGGGACAGGAAGAAAAAAAAATAGTAGGGGTGGGGGTTGGGGAGGCGGAAGGAGGAGGGAGAGGAGCACGAGGAAAGTGCCTAATGAGTCGTAGCAATTTGATGAACTAAAACAAAGCAGAGGCACCATTAGGTTGCTCCTCGGCAGCGGCACGGGGCTTTCACTGCGTGCTGCTGTTCAGCATCACCGCCCGAGCACAGGGCAGCGCCCCGCTGCCTGTCACCCAGGGCGTGGACATCTCGGAACCCGGGTTTGGGAGGCAGCTGCAAGTTAAGTGCAGGTCTCAATCTGCAAGGCTGCCATCAATGCACCGGCAGTGTTATCTGCTCAGCACTGGCTGGGAGAGAAAGGCAGGGCTGGATTTCTGCTGGATTTCTGCTGGATTTCTCTTCCTCTCCCCGACTCCCCGCCCTCTTTTGGAGGTTTTTGGAAGAGAGGAGAGAGGTGGTAATAATAAAGTCACATGGATAGAAAATGAAACACTTGGCAGTCCGTCAGATGACTAATGCAAGATGCTAGTGATGAATTTGCAGAGTGCGCGAGGCATCCATGTGTGCATCAAATTAGTACGTTGTTGCTGCTAGGAATGGAAAGCGCTCCAGCAAAGCAGCTCTRCGCAGCTGATTGGCTGCCCACACCGGAGAAAAGGGCCAGAGCTGGGAGGGGGCTGCCCCTTTAAAAAGCACATTGTTTATGGGACCCAGGCACAAAGGGTTTAATTCAGACAGGCAAAGAGATCTCAGAATTGCCGGCTTTGTGCTGGGGGAAAAAAATGCAGCCCCAGAAAGTTGAGTTCCCACTAAAGGACACTGAATATTTCAAATCTTTCACACTCCATAAATTGCTCTCTGTATATCTGACTTCCAGATGTTGCACTTAAGTTCTAAACAATCACACGTTTGGGAGAGCAGGGAGAAAAAAAAAAAAAAAGGAAGTCTGTCTTTTCTTCTCCAAGCTTCAGTAAATATTTGGGGCTGATACAAAGAACAAAACCATAAGCTTTCACATATCAGTCTTCCTCATGTTGCTTCGTTCAAACCCCCATTTGGAAGAGACTTGTTCCTTTCAAACCTGCAATTCTGGTCATCACCATGCAATATGATAAAGATGTTCCTTTTTGACTTGGATCCCCCACACCAATTTGAGCTAGAGTAAATAAACAAAGCAAAAGCGCATACCTTTTTCTTTTCTGTCTCGCCAACCCCCTGACATGGTTCCTATGCCCGCTACTCTGCCAAGTGAGAAGACTGACTCTCAGTAGCACTCAGAGCAGAACTGTGCTCTTGGTCTAGCTTCTCAGCCTATGAAAATACAACATACACGAACAGGTGCAAACCCAGCAGACACCATATCTACAGAGCCTGGTCCATGACTACCCCCTGCCCAGAAGCCGAAAGATCAGGAAGGGGACGCGTGGACTCCAACTAAACTGCAAATGGCAGATATGAGTTCACTGTACCCTCAGGGAAAGAGTAAAAAGGTACTGAAAGATCTTAAGCAGAGTTTCTTATTTTGTTATAATAATAATRAAAAAAGAGCACTTTAAATCTGCTATGGATCTAGGTTAGTCTTGAGCCCTTATAAAACAGAAGGAGAAGAAAAGCAACACTAACAGTTAAAAGACCCAAACCTTATGGAAAGGAGAAATCCTCAATCAGATTTACCGGAGAGAGAAAAATTGTGTCAAAATACTCTTCACTAGGTCTCGACTTCAATCTACTTCTTAGCCCCCTATTTTACCATTTTATTTATTTATTTTTTATCCTGGAGATAAACAATCAAACTGTCTAACTTGAAGCATTTTTCAGAGCTTCCTCTAATCAACTTTATTGTTATAAAAAATGTTCTGCTGAATAAAATACTGAGTACAAAATCTTTCAACAATTTAGGTATAATGTAATGCTTGTTTATATTGGAGCTAGGTCGTTTATCTTGTTCTTATGCACCTATACTTCTTTTCCAATCACTCTTTGAAAATTCAACAAACACTTTAACCCTGTGGAGCCATGACTGCAGAGGGGTGGAGGTGGCAGAGCCACGGGCAGCACAGAATGGAGTGTTCACAGCATGCTGAAAGCGAGGAGTGTGGCAAGGCTTATTTCTGGGACAGGAAGAACTCGTGGTTATTGCTGTTGACAACCAGCTAGAATGCAAAGAGGAAGGCAATGCCACAGGTCTCAGCTAACAGAAACCGGAAGTTCAAAAATGGGACTATTGCAACTTATCTGTACAGACCACAATTAATATAAYGAAGGAGTCAGGTGGCAGTTTTCTCGTCCGATATCTAAACTTTGATTTCTAAAGCAAACATTCCTCAATGCTTCTCCAAATAGGTGGCTTTTTACATTTTCTCAAAATACACAAATTTAGCCAAGACCCTTAAGTGAAGGGAAAGCTGAGATGAGGGCTCAAGTCTTGCACAAACTCTGGTCTTTATGTAGGTAAGTGTGTATTTTATCATCTCTGTCAGAGGGCTTCCTGGAGACTTTTTATCATCCTGAGGCAGTATACTTCAGTGCCTAAGGGCATGGCCTCCGATTGCTGGGACTATCACTTCCTAATTGTGCTACTCTGGGCCTCGACCCTTCATCTATAAAATGGGAAGAACAGGTTCCATTTCAMAGAGTCACAGAACACAGCACAGAATAAGTGCTTTATAAATGTAAGCCATTTCTCCTGTGAATTCCTTCTTGGCATTTGTGGAAGCATCTGAAATGTGTGACAGATTTACTTTTCAATCCTAAATTTTCACAATATAGATCCAAACACAATACATATTGTAAATAAGAATAATATGTATCTTTTATATACCAAATACSGTGCTAGGTACTTGATGATTTTAATTCTTCTAGCAACCCTCGGAGAAAGTATATTTTTCAGTTGCCAATAATCAAGAAGTAAGTTCCTCTCCAAAGATGACTAGCTTATAAATTGTAGAGCTAGAATTCAAACCTATGTCCACTGGGCCCCAAAGAGCAAAATATTTCTAATCCACCATGTGGCAAAATATTCTATTCTGCCTGGCTTGTGTTGAGAGTAAACAGCTCGTGGCAAATCCATGAGAAGAATAAGCCAAGAGCGAGTCCTACCAGGTTCCTGGAATTGCTGCGGAACAAGAGGCAGTCTAAAATGGGCATATGTGCCTTTGTTCTCCCTCTGTGAAAGATGGTAAAAGGTGCCAAATTTAAGGGTCCTTTAAGCTACTTTAAAACTCTGGTTTATCCAATCAGCACATAAAGCTGTCTCTCATCTCCACAGGTCCCCTTCCTCTCTACTCCCACACAGTCAAACTCATGAGCATCTCCCATCCAAATCTACGTTCTTTCCTGTCTGTCTTTTGGCAAATAACTATTCCAAAGATTTACATCAAGTGCTCAAGGCAGCRCAGTGCCATAAGTAAATCCAGCCATGATTGTTGTCCAGTAAATTAAAACCACCACCACACCCTCCCTATCAGAAGCTGTCACTTGGGATTGGTAGTCATAWCCCACTGTTACTGAATCCCCTACCCTGAATCCTGCCTGTATTTCAACAGTCTGGTTAATTCTGCTCTAATCTACCTATGCTCCTCCTCCCAGGGACTCAGGTTTCCTGGCTGATGCTCATTTCTAGTGGAGACTCACTGACTTCTTTTGTCCTCATGAGGGTAAGGTACAGAAACTTCTAAGCAAGATAGAAATTATGTGTTTCATAGCAAAACCTTTGGGAGTATTTGCCAGAGCCCACAAATAAGTGATTCTTCATGGACAAGTAATTTTTGGAACAGATACCCTAAATCTCAAAAAGACCCTCAGTCAGACCTCTATTTACAATTAAATTAATAAAATTAATACTAACTCACTTCTCATCACTCCTTAGCCATCCTTATCATCCAGTACAGTGCTTTTTATGGTGCAGAAATGTAGATTGAGTGATTCGAGAGGCTGAGGCAGCAGGATTGTGAGTTCAAAATTAGCCTCAGCAACTTAGGGAGGCACTTAGCAACTCAGGGAGAACCTGTCTCTAAATAAAATACAAAAAAGTGCTGGGGATGTGGCTCAGTAGTTAAGTGCCCCTGGGTTCAATCCTGATACCAAAAAGAAAAGAAAAAAAACGTAGATTGAAATTCAACTAATACTTATCAATAGCCTACTCTTTGCCAGGTACTTGACATAAAATATTACAACAGTTCCAATTGGAATCATTTTCATTTTAGGGATGAAGGAACTGGGAGTCACAGAGATATTGTGCCTTTTCCAATGTCACACCCTTAACAGAAAGTGCAGAACATGGGTGGAGAAAGATTTAAAAGCCAGTCGCCATTCCCTACTATTCCAGGAACTGGGATTCTCTAGGGGGATGTTTCCCGGGGACTTGGTGACCACTCGAGGGCCCTGGACACCTCTGCTGGCACCTCGCCTGTAAATTGCAACACGATCCCGAGTGCCAATTCTGCTTCTGTCCTCGGCAAGGAGCCAGCTATAAGGCTCCACTAGGACAGATGCCATCCGGAACTGGACGATGTGTCAGAGAGCACGAAGCCAGTGGGTATTGTTGGTATCAGTCTCAGAGCCAAGATGAAAATATGATGATGTTGGGGAAAATGAGCTTACTTTTGCTTTTAGCACTGCACTGACCTACTTCCCTACTCTATTTTCTAGTAAAAAGAACTAGATCAATAGAGGATATGCAAATCTTCTGAGGTTCCTCTCAAGAAGTGAAATTAAAAAATAATAATTGATCCAACAATTATTATTATGCATTCCAGGACAACAACTTTTTATAAGGCCTAGTGATTTGTAGGTTTCCTTTTGGAGAATRGTAACAAGAGAATTGAGATTTCTCATCTTTCATCTTGTCCTTGGATAACTTTCTGTGTTATATTTCCTTYATCTATACAAGGGCAAGAGCAACAAACTTGCAAAATGGCTGAGAAGTGCCAAGTAGCCATAAATGATTATGTTAATGCTGAAAAATGACATAAAATGCCTCCTTCGGGGTATATTCTAAACTAAAAATTATACAAAAGKTAGATTGTCTTGGAAAAATTCTCTAAAGATAGGTAATCTCTCTGGCAGTTATCAATAGTCTTATTACTCTAACATTTTTTGTTCCTTAGAATGTCCTATATCAGCACTCTCCAACTCAGTGCCATGATGAAAATGATCCATATCTTTACAAAACAATATGGTAGCCGCTCGCTGCATGTGGCTACTAGGTACTTGACATGTGGCTAACTCAAGTAAGAAACTCAATTTTTAGTTAATTTTATTTAAAGAGCTCTAGATGCAAATATACTTCTCCCCYACCTTTTTCTCTTTTTAAACACTGAGTAAAGTTGAGATTAACCTCAAYATTTTTCGTGGGGAACTGTTTTACAGAAGTAGGAATGCAGTAAGAAGGAATGCAGAAGTAGGAATGATCTGTACTCCAGTACAGGTCAGTAGATAGTGGGCTGGTGGGCCYGGGTTCTCATCACAGCTCAGCATCCATTCAACTGTGGTATCACAGGAAAATCATGTAACTACTCTGGTTCCTCAGTTTCCTCACTTGTAAAAYGAAGAGACAGAAGAACTTCCATCTGGT